TAGGAAGATAGACAAGGATAGAAAGACAGACAGGCAGAGAGAGAGAGAGGGAGAGACGGAAAGGGCCAGACACTCTTTAAAAAGAATTAAATCAGAAGTTAATTCTTGGTTTGGGCTGCTGGCACAGCTGGCAGAATCAACTCCCAAGTTGATCCTTTGAGGCTGGCGCATTGAATGGGGGCTGTTGCTGAAGAATTAACTTTCGAGTTAATCTTATTCAACTCTTGTATTCAGTCTCTTCCGTCCGACCCCACGTTGCTGGGTGAAAAACCAGCTCTATTTAGGCGAGCCATAGAAAGCAACAACTGTTAACGCGCTCCCACCTGGTTTTAATTTGCCTGAGCACCATTGGGTGGCTGATTCTGGGCTGCCTGCTGCTGCCAGCTGGCCTACACAGTGTAAAGGGAACATTCTGCGCAGACTCCAGCATTCAATATGCCTCAAATGGATTGTATAATTGTAGACCATTTAAGATCAAACTGGCCATTCTCCCCGACACTTCTGCAGTCAGGACTCAAGGTCCATGACTCATGACTTGGTGACCCCAGGACCATGGCTGGTGGCTGCTGGACCCTGAGCACGGGCCCAGCGGCCACGGTGCGCGCAACCATTGCGCGCCTGAGGAAGCAACTGCAGGGCCGGGCACCGAGGATGGGGAAGGGGACAGTGGCTAGTAGCATAGGGGGTGGCGTAATTAATTTTTCCAGGGGTCATGTCACCTACCGGGATAGTTTTTTTTGGAGTAATTTCGATGGAATAATATTTAAGCTAGGTAGTGGTTTAAGGTACTACCCTGGAATTCAGAATAATTTTAGAATACTTTTGCAAGCCACCCTCTATCTGGCTGATGCTGGCTGTGTCAATCTAACCCGTCCGTATTTGCAACGCTGCTCTTTTTATCTCCTGTTTCAGAGCCAGAAGGTCTACACAGAACAGAAGATCAACGAACATATCAGAGGAAAGATCCTAAACATTCCTATAGAAATTCCCAGACAACACACAGAATATTTTAAATTTGACTTTTCAACACACAGACTTTTCCACACCAAAATTTAACTAACCGTTCACATAAATTTTCTCTCTTGAGTGTATCAGGTACAGAAGTCTGAAAATTATTTTGCAATGTGAATGACATATTGGGATAGTTTTCAGAATCTATCTGGATAGTGGTCAGAATAGTTTGTTTATTATTCCAGGGGGGCTGTGAGAGGGGGGGGGCCTTAGGCCACCCCCGATCTAGTAGCTGCTAGCACACCCTACGCTGCACATCGGACTAGCACAATCCATTCCTCATGCCTTTGAAGATCTGCAAAACTGCGAGGTGGCGTCGAGGACTGAGGACAAGGGGAGAACAATCGACAGCTTGCAGTTTGGTACAAAAGAGGCGCTGCGTTTTCTGCTGACTTGGGCTTTGTTTCAAGGTGCCAAACACATCCAGCTAATCACGGAGATGTCACTGCATCGTTGGTATTTGCTTGCTGCCTCTCAGTTCTACTGAACACTCTGATGATCAAAGATGATCAGACATTGGGATGGAGGAGAGACAATCCGATATCTTGCCGATGATCGCTCTGACTCTAATTAGTTGGTTGAATCTACTAGCCTGTTCACCGAGGCCCAAGAAGATAAATCAAAAGCTGCAGCGAGAGAAGCTGAGCAGGAAGAGGTCACGTAAGAACGTTGCTGTGGTGCTTGGTCCTTGTGCCCTCATCCCTCTTGGATCCTCTTAAAGTAATCTATGCTTCCTCTTGCAGAGTTTCATCATTGTTTGTGCTCAGTGCGCAGCAGTTCAGAATTTATAGTGAGGCAATGTAAGGCAAATGTTTGTTTCTTTTAATTGACCACCTATCCAATGCCAATATTTGGCAAACTCATATAATTTGTAAGATATAGTTCCTGTGTACTTGGCACAGTTTCTGCATTGCTCAGTCATTGCTTTATCAAACCATTTTATTGCTAACCCCATGTTCACTTCGAAAACAATCCAAACTCGAGCAACAGCAGCTCTATGCCGTTGTGTGCCTGTATACGGCCAGGCCATCCAAGAAGCCAAGCAAGCCAAAGCTCGGGTGAGATTGCCAAGAGAAAACTTCAACGATTGCGAAGAGATGGACTTTGCACTTTTTGGCAAACAACCTTGGTTTGATCCGATTTTTTGGGGTGGATGGTCTGATCTTGGGTGCACAAGGACGAATGACGTGCCTTGCATCGTCTACGGACGTGAGGGATTGGATGGCCTGGAGAAAATATCTCCATCAGCTTGACCTAACAGTTGATGCTCAAGTCCTCAAACCTAATTTTGAAAAGCGAGGAGTTTTCCTGGACTCCTGGGGAAGTAGCTTGTTTTGCCAGAGCTGAGTGGATAATTCCAAGGCAGAGGCAGACGCCAATTCCATGGAGGAGCACAGTGATTTGAATCAAAATCGCAACTTGGCAGCACAAACTGACTTGTGTCACCTGTCACCCATTTGATTTTAATGTTCAACTGCGTTTTTGGCTTGCACAGGTCAGTCAGTCATCGAGTGATTTTGATCAAGTCTTCTCCAGTTGCGCATGTTGCACAAGTCTTCCTAGCTTCTCCGACCAGAAGACCTCAAACTATCCAAAACTTCCAATCCACTCCAAAAGCTGCCCTGGCGCTCCTGTCGCTGGCCGCGCCCGTCGCTGGGTCACATGGGTGCGCACGTTGGGGCCGTCCTAGGCTACTTGAAGTATGGGCTCCTGGTGGCGACGCTGGTCGCTTGGGGATCTCTGATCGGATTGCGTGGGCCCCCAGGAGACTGAGTGACATCATCCACCTTCCAGTCTATTTGTGCTCTTTGATCAATGGTTGGGCCTGCTTGTTTGCTTGTTTGCCCTCGCTTTTGGTGGTTTTGAGATGCTCTGAAAGCATCGGCCATCCAGTAGATTCATTCATTCTCTCTCTGTCTCTCTCTCTCTCTCTCGCTCGCCACGCGATGACAAAGGCCTTTTCCAACTGGTGGCCTTTATACACGCATCCAACAAGTAATTTGTATCTACCAATCAGTTCTCACGAAGTTTGAACCTCACCAGTCAGTGCCGCAATGCTGGGAATCTGCAGGACAGCCGGTCTGAATTTTCTAAGGCTCTGGTCCAGATACAAACATCAGGAACTTCACGATCATCATTTGAACATGATCGCCCGGATGGCCTAGATTTCATGAGAGGAGACTGGATGCCTGGTTATTACATATGGCTGTGGGTGACCCTGGTAGGTTGACCTCCCGTAGGTCGTCTATTCTGTTCATTTTCTGATATTTCTGTATTTACCCACAGCCATATAGGTGGAGAACCTTTTTCCAGGATGGATATCAAAGGACGAGTGGGAGCAAGACCGGAATGATGGTGATAGTCCTGGGTGAGCTTTAGGAGTGACCGGAATTGACAGTTGATAGCCGCATGCGTGAGAATGTGGCAAGAGCTCTCCTCTGGCGCGGCATGGCGCGGCTGCACTTCAGGGTAGCACAGATAGCAGAGCAAAGGTCCAACGACTACACTGCCAACATTGATGAGAGGATTCAGGTTACATCTGGCATTTGTGTGCATTTGTGCATTTCTTATGCTCGGTGCACTTGCGGCACTCGCACATAGATACATCATACACAAAGTACTCCCTGTTGTTGGCCCAGTCCATGCGTACCGCCCTAGGTTCGCTTGAATAGCGACAAGATGGAGTGCTAGGACCTCAGTTTCAGGTTGCCCAGGTGAACGACTCGGCTCCCAGAGGCAGTTGTCTCTACATGTTTGGAGAAAAAGGAATAGGAATCTGCGAATGGAAGTGCAGCGACACGTACAGTGCAACTTGTACATATATATGTACCATATGTACTTTGGCTCAAGGATCAAGCGACTAGAAAAGGTGCGGTTTCCGTTCCGACGCTACGCCGCTTATGGACCGTCAGTGATAGCTTCAAACTTCGCTGATTAAGATCCACTCGCAGGTTATCAGCCGTACGCGCTCTTTATAGCCGTACGAGCTACACGAGACCAAGAACAAGACTAGTCATTACAGAAACCTGCAATGTCAAGCTCAGGAGGAAATGGAAGCGAACCCTATTCATTCGCTGCTCCTGGTGGTCCCAACACCATTTCGTCACCAGACTCTACAATGGGTACTGATTCATCAGCAAATGCTGACGTTATCACTATGCCTACTGGATCACAAATCTCGGAAAGATCCGTGCCACCGGCTCGGAATCTGACCGATCTTGCACCCGTAGGACCAAGAAGATCGATGAGAGCTACAACAAGATCTACATCGCCTATAACGTCTACCGCGAGATCCCCAAGAAGGAGTATAGAGAAGAGACGTGACGATGATAGAGGAACAAAAGAGCAAAGAAGAGAGATTCAGCTGGGTGAAGAATTGAGATCGGCGAGAAACGCATACAATTTTCTTCATGAAGAATATGAATGCATCCAAGCCGGATACTCACGACTACACCACGAGGCTGAAGTGGAGTTCAGGCAAATGTCTGACTACAACAGGAAGATGCAGGAACATCTACAAGAGATGACACAGGAAGATGAAGGAGCGACAATAAGAATTGAAGAGCTCGAACACAAGCTACGCTTGGCGGAATCGACAGCTGAACATATCTACATGAGATATCAAGAGCTTGCACAAGAAACTCATCAAGAACATTCAGAGCTTGAATCTGTGAAAGCAACGAAGGACAGAATGTCCCAAGAGCTTCAAGCAGCAATTGGACACATCCAAGAACAGAATGAATCTTCATTGGCGATCAATAGAAGATCAAAAGCCATTCAGGATGAGAACATAGCCTTCGTCGGAATAGCTAACCAGATACAAGCTAGAATGATTGCGCTACAGGATGAGAATGTCAACATGCACGAGGTGATCCAACACCAGAGAGAAGAACAATGGAACAGTGAGGTCAGGGAAAGACGTCTTCAACACAGTGTTCACTCATCTCAAGATCAGAGCAATCAGGAAGCTATGGTTATTGATCATCTACGAGGTCAACTAGCTATGGCACGTGGAGCTGAACTCAACGCGAGAGCGGAGATAGGAGAGATGGAAGTGGGCATGAGGATGGAGATGTTTGTATGCCAGACTGAAGTCTCTGCTAAAGAAATGGCAGAAATGAAGGCGAGCCACCATGAATACGAAGCAAACGTCGCAAAGGAGGTTATCGCAAAAGGGGAAATATTCAACAACGAAGTCCTAGAAAGTTCCATCCGTGAACGACATCAATTGAAAGACGTCAACCTCGCTCTATCCGAAGCCAACGCACAGCTGAAAAGAGAGAATATGATGAGAGCTCCTATGTTCGGCGATGATGGTGCTGAAATTCAACAGAAGATCAGAGAACTGGAGAATGCACTATTGGAAAGCCAGAAGGAGACAAAGAATGTCATTATGGAAAATGCGAAATTAAAAGCAGAAGCACGAATGGCACCCATAGTCTCTCGGTACAGCAAGCGTCCTAGTTCCAGAGACCGCGGGTTACCAACCCACGCGTCCGAGGAAGATGAGATTCGGAACGCAAAAGAGGAGGCGAAGCACTACAAGGACGGGTACAATGAAATGACAGAGAGCCGAGATGAGATGTATGAATGGTATGCAGAAACCCACAATGAGTACGCCGAGGAAAGGGAGAAATCAATTGAGCTATCCGAGGCAAACAAATCATTGAGGGACAAGATTTCAGAAGCAGAAGCATCCTCTTCATCTCATCTTGCACCGGCAACCTCTACAATCATGAAAGTATCGAGGAAGGAAGAATCAAAGATAAACGTTCCGTCATGGCCCAGGATCAATGATCTTGGACTATGGAAGGCAAATCTCATTCAATCGATCATCATTGCGGCCAATGATTCAGATCAAGAGCCCTGGATCGACTGGATCAAAGAAGCCATGGACGACCCTGATCCGGACAAGTTTGTCGACTCAGGAGACCAAAGATTCCATTCAATCGATGCCAAACTCGGCCTAGCTCTTACCAAGGTCGTCATGGATGCGAAAGATGATGGTTCAGGTGTAGCTATGAAGTTGAGGACGAGGATCAATGCAAAAGGGAGAACATCAAGCCTCATAAAGGGAAGAGAGGTCCTAGCCCTGATCCTTATGAATTTCAAGACAACATCAAATGTGGAAGTCTTATATACTTCAATGCACCTCTACCAACTAGAATATCAAGGAGACAAGAACTTATCGTTGTTCTTCCACACTTGGGATGAGATTCTGGCAGGAATGAAGCCCGTTGACGTCCCGAGCGACGAAACTCTTCGGGATCTCCTATGGAGAAAGATCAGGAACTCAAACCTCATGGCATACGACATCAGCGCCTACA